AATTTTGTGCAAAGCTACATGAGGGCTATCTGTGCTAGCTGTCCCTAATTTAGAGGGAAAGCAGCTAGTCATCACCACCCACCGCCAACTCTTGGGCTACTCTTTTACCAACGAATAGTGGGATTGACCATCACATTATAATGTCCCAATGGCTGAAAGGGCAAGCATGTTTGGTGTGATAGGAATTCGAACCCGTGACCCTCAGATTGCAAGTCGTCACAAAACTGAATGTTGTAGAGAGAGAAGGAATAGCCTCTTGATTACTAATTTTGTTTTTTGTTTTGTTTTTACAATAGAAGGCATAAAATTCAGATGATGAAAATTGACTTTCAAAAATAATGAAATCATCACATACTAGATTTTGACTGAACAAGAAAGAAAAAATTTAATTTTATTCAGAAACAAAGTATTACTGACCATAAAACAACAACAACAACAAATATATACAACTTGTATAAACCCTATGCCTATGGGAAGGGTCATTTTGACCAACCTTGTAACCACGAAACTATAACTCTGAAAGCACCAAGTGTATCTTCACCAAATTTAGCAAGCTTTTAGCAAATATTACAAGTATGTTGTACACAAAAAATTATATTTTTTAAATAAAGTATTTGTACTAAAGATTTTTCTGTAAATTTATGAAGCCTTTATTGAGTCAGTTTGATTGAAAAGTGATATTCTTGCTAAAAATAAAAATACTTCTTTGCATCTTACAGTTTGCATAACCCTTAGAGCCTCCTAAAGTAACAACAGGTTTTTCTGTAAAATTATATAATTTCTCTCTTATTTGATCTACCTTAACAATAACTAAAGTGACATTATCTATAGAAACAGTTCAAAAATATGAAATAAAAAAACATTTTATACTATGACAACTGCAGATTATAATATACAACTAAAACTATTTTTCATAAACAGTCTGAAACTCCTAGCAGTTTTACATCTGCTTTTATTTAATTTTATTGTTTTAATGCTTTTTTGAAACATGTCTAACTAGCATAGCAAAGCAATAAATCACCCAGTGACAGCTTGATGCAAGTCACAGTAAACAATGTATTGAGTATTTTGCATGCGGCAGCCCACATGCATTCCTATAGGAAATATTTTCTTATTTAATTTAATTTTTAAATTTTTGTTAAACATATGTATAAAACAATAAATTTTGCAACTACTTTAGCCCTGAGGCCTTCTGCACATGGTTGCATGGTTTAATAACCTTATTTTATTCTCATTATCTTAGTTGTCCAAAAATAATTTATATAACTTTCAAATATGCATCTTAGAATATAAAAATATATATATCAAACACTAGAAAAGGATATCCCCCAACTACTATTATTATTTACCTGGCCTTCTAACTAACCTATAAATAGGTTAAAAAGTTCCTATATTGTTCAGACTGACATCTTTAGTCTAAACACATCAAGCTCTCCCCACAAATATCAGTTAAGACAAAACAATAATCTGATTTATGTTATTTAGAACATATTCTTTGTAATGGTTATGAATAAGTTCAATATCAATGTGGGTTGAAGAAATATATTGATATCTCAGTAAAGCATGAAGATGTGCAAGTCTTATATTCTGAATTGTAAATATCTGTAATATGTATTTTTAATTGGGCAGTACTTGTAAGGGAAGAGAAAAATCTATAAATGAGAAGTCACAGCACCACTGTATCATGTGACTCATAGCTACAGATTGATAATTGGTTTAAATATTTCCTTTTGAAATTAAGAAAAAATAAACACAGATAATACAAAAATTTGAATTACAAGCTACGGTTTAATGCCAAGCTTATTAACATTCATAGAAAATAAACTAGTTTTATTACATTTTGAATGCAACTCTGTAAACAAAAAACTGTGACATGCACACTTTAACAATTCCATGTCTCTATGATCATTATGTTTCATTTTAAGCAAAAATTTTAAAAATGATAAATAGCTTCTACTAACTTAATTCTTTCACTTATGATAATGATTAAGAATCACCTAATATAAAATCTGGCTTTTCTCAATCACAATACAAAACAAGCTTCAAACAGAAGGTAGTTTGTTTTATTTAGTGAATTTTTTACCTCATATACAACTAAAATATTACATTGTAATCACAAAGAAAAAAAAAATTCAGATGTGAAAAACCTTTAATGAAATGACATATTTTCTGATGTGTACATGTTGTATTAAAGAAAACAAATTATTAATATATTTTTTTAAAAGCCATCTATGAAATACACAATTAAAATTCCAATACAAAAAACGTGTACCTTGTTTGGTCTTCATTATGTAGTCTCTTCAGTTCTCTGATATGGAGATTTCTTTCTCTCTCTAGCTTTTCCAACTCCAACTGCAAATCAGCATCTTCTTTCTTAAGTGCTGCCTGCCTTAGCTTCAAAATTTCTTCTTGTTCATAGTAGTCGTGCCACGAACGCCTAACATTATTATGTCCCATTATATTTTAATCAAACTCTTTTTTTTTCTACTATTCTTATGTAATAACAAGTAACTTTATGTTGTTGACTGAATAGTGGGTTTAAAATTAATTATGTAAACTTTTCACCACCAAAACTATTCATCTTAATTAATAACTATATTTTTAACAACCAATAAAACCTCTAGAAACTTTACCCTATGATACTGAAACAAATCAAGATTTAAAATGAATCAATACTTTTTCCTTTATGGATATAAACAATAATATATCCAAAAACATTAAAAATTGGTTAGGATGTGGTTCACAACTGCTGATATATGACAAGTGAGTTGTGCGAGACAAAAAAAATCACTCTACAATGTATGTTTTTAAATCATTATTATTTCTTAATGTTCTACACAGATTTCATAAGTGGATGTATTACACATCTGTAATATAAAATGAATTCAATTTGTTTTTCAATTAAAAACAATTGAAGTAATACAGTTTCCCTTTCTTAAAGCAATAAACCGTTAACTACTCTCTAAATTTAAAGTTAACGGTTTATTAAACTATCCTCCATTTTTCAAGGTTGTACACTGAATTCAGATGAAGTTATATTCTATACCTGGAGGAACCATTCCTCACAGATGTATTTTTGAGATATTAACAGGTAAAAAATTCATGTATAGATGAATACTTTTAAATAAATTTCCTTTCTCCTGAGGAAATATCAGTTTTTTACAAGTTATCCTTTATTATCAGTTCAGAGTTTTTATATATGCAATTTTATTCTCTTAAGATAGTTTTTATGAAAAAGCACAATATATGCCAGAGGATCACAATGTTCAGTTGCTCTTAAGAAAATGAAACTGTCCTACCTTTACAATGTTCTTCATTCTATAAAAGTGAGTTTAGAATGTAATTTTTTCATGTGCACCAGGATCAAGGCAATGTGTGGATGTGTGCTAATAGTTATTTTTTTTTGGGGGGAGGGAGGTATTTTTAGACCATCGACCCTATTGGATCATTAGGCTGCTTTGCAATGCTACCACATGATTATTTGGTCTTTAGGCCTATTGACTACTAGGCCTATCATGTTGAGACTCCTCACCATTACTGAGGATGTGCGCAGCACTTGATTGGTTGTTGTGCAGCCACACAGCTTAGAGGGAACACCGTCTGTGAGGCAAACAAAATAACTTCGAATATCGATATAAACTGCAGAATCTCTTAGCCACACTTCTACTTACTCTTTAGGAGTATCGGGCTTCAAGAAGTCTCCATTTAAAAGTAGTGGATTTCCATTGCTAGCTTTAGTTTTTTGTTGAGCAGTACTTGTTTTCTTCTTTCCTAAAGATTTTCGCTGCCTTTCTATTTCCTCCCTTTCAGCAGTTATTAGTTCTTGTTTTCTGAAAGGAGGAAAAAGTTTCTCTAATGTTGCATTAACAAGGATAACCAACAAACCCTTGCACTACACATATTACAATATTTAGCAGTACCAAAATTATGTATTCTGGTCAAAAAGAAGTGTGATGCCCAGTCTATTCTTAGATTTGTCACTGAATTAGACTAGTTTCAGAAATTCTATTTCACTTCAGTAATCCTGAAAAAAGATAATCCACACAACAGTATCATTCATTAATATACAGTCAATATTCAATACAACATCTCTTGATGTATTCCATAAAAATCTCAGTATTTAAAAGTATTTCCAACAATACCTACAAGAACTAGCTTATTTCTTAAATGCCAGTAATGTAATAGCCTAGTTTATGAGTTACATGAATATCCACAATTCAGTTCACTAAGTAAACAAAAAAATAGTTACTGGGATATAAATAGCTATTTTCCTATTTTGTATATCAAACTGTTGACATGTTAATCTGTATCTGTATTACTTTTCAGTTTATATCATGTTTTGGATCAAAAGAAATATTCTCAAGCATTGCTATTTTGAAACATTTTCAATTAGTACTGGTTTTACAAGTTGCGTGATAAGGAACTGTGATATAAATAGCTATTTTCCTGTTTTGTATATCAAACTGTTGACATGTTAATCTGTATCTGTATTACTTTTTAGTTTATATCATGTTTTGGATCAAAAGAAATATTCTCAAGCATTGCTATTTTGAAATATTTTCAATTAGTACTGGTTTTAAAAGTTGCTTGATAAGGAAGGAACATAAGATTAGCCACCAGTGCCCTCTATAAAACTCACAGTAAACATACCCAACAATCTTTACACGAACATATCATCTCTATAATTTCACTTCTGGGTAGCAAACCAAACACACAATTAACCCATACTTTTTTGCTACCCTTTTACGTCATTATCTTTGTTTACCATCCCTATGTTAATATTCATATTTTACAAAACATTAAGAATTCACCAAAATAACACCACCATCTATATCTACCTATATAAATATATACATGTTATCAAAATGTTACATAAAATATTAGCGTTTATAAAGATTATTTACATATTCATTCAAAGTAATATTTATTGTTTTTTTTAGTGCTAAGTTATATACAGTGGGCTATTTCCACTCCATCCACTGTGGAAATTGAGCCCTCTATTTTAGTGTTGTAAGTCTGTAAACTCACTGCTGACCCACCAGGAGACATTTTGTTTTTAAAATGTCACATTATTTATAAAATACCAAAAGTTATCAACATACTTCATACAATATCAGCATTTAAGAACATGTTTTTACAATATTAATGTTTATTGCTGTGTTTTATACAATGTAACCTTAATTAACATGGTACTCCTGTTCACCAAGACATTTTGTATAATTCCAAAATTTATCAATACATTTTATCAGTATCCTTTCTGGATATTTTATTTTATTTTATTCATAATAGATTAATGAATTTATTAATAAATAAAATCCAACAATATAAAAAAAACATTTTTTAAAAAAAGATGAAACAGTGAAATAACAATCTTGTTCTCGAACTAAATTAAAGGAAGAACTTATAAAATGAAAATTAAGTTTTTATTTAACGATAAAACAAGTAATTTTGTTTTTACAAATTTATTTTTTATTTCACTTAAAACAAACAAACTAGAATTAACCAGAATTCATGTGTCAAATTTCATTTATGTTCATTTTTCCTTATTTAACAATTGTTAAATTATTTTGTTGCTTAGCGATGTAGTATCACTGTTGATACTGAACATGGAAAGGTTTTGCTCCATTATTCAAATACATACACTTGGCAGTGCAAAGTGAGCCTAGTAAAACACAATGTTTCTAAAAATAAAATAAAAAATAAGTTTTGAAAAACGTAATTACTTCTTTTATCTATAAATGAAACTTTTAATACTATTCTTGCCAGAAGAATTCATTCCTTGCAATTAACAAATAAATTCTTAATAACATACACTATATATTTTAAGTATACATACTTTAGTAGTTCTGTGAAGGCATAACCATCAACCCAGTTTTCGGCAAAAGTTGCTCCTTGTCTCTGGGTAACGAACTGTCCCAGTCTCAACCTATTTTGCATACATTTCTGTCTAGCTTGTTTCTTTTCCATTGTGGACTAGTAATTAAAAAGATAAATTCCACCATGAGTCAAGGTTTGTTTTGTTTTGAATTTCGCAAAAGCTATACGAGGGTCGTCTGCAGTGAAATTTAGCAGTGAAAGACTAGAGGGAAGGCAGCAAGTCATCACTGCCAACACTTGGGCTACTCTTTTACCAATAAATAGTGGAATTGACCATTACATTATATTGCCACCAAGGCTGAAAGGGGCGAGCATGTTTGGTGGGATGGAAATTCGACCCAGCAACCCTCAGATTACGAGTCGAGCTCCCTAACCACCTGGCCATGCCAGGCTCCCATGAGTCTAGACAAGAACTAAAAAAATAGTATTTAATCATGCTAAACATTTAAAAATATTATTGATATTACTGATTCACTTTCCATAAGTTTTATTAAAATTATATAAAATTTGTGTTCAGTGTAAAAATAAAACTCATTCAGGGTACGGGTCACATATAGTTGAAATATAAAAATATACGAGCTATTATTTTTTAAGCCTTACCTTTTCAATTAGTAGTTGTTTTGTAACATCTGTACATTTAGTTAGCTGTTCTTTTTGTTTTTCTATTAATTTCTGTTGAGCCTGTAGCTGCCTACGAAGTTCTTCATTTGTCTGAAATAAAAAAATACATTATTTAATTCATATTATTTCCTAATTCAAATACAATGCTTTCAGCTAATATATAGGTAAATATGGTCTTAAAGTTTGACAAAAAATTTCAGTTTAATTATAAAGTTATTTATGTCAGTATCAAGAAGACGTATTCTAATTACAAATAGTTGAAAGAAATATTCAATCTAAAGTTAACAAATTAGTTACCGTTAAACGGGAATGTGTTTTTGCAACAAAAAATATTTACGTATACTTTTAAATACACAACAATAAGAGTATTGGTGGTTTGTTTGTAGTTAAGCCCAAAGTTACGCAATGGGCTATCTGTGCTATGCCCACCAAGGGTATTGAAACTCAGCTTTTACCATTGTAAGTCTGTAGACATTCTGCTGCACCACTGGAGGGCAGTATTGGTAAAATTCTATGCAAGAATGAACAATTTTATTTTTATACTACAGTTACCTCTTTATTACTTGTGTCTGTGCATGTGAAAGTACAGTTTTTATAGCTCCTTTTATGAAACATCTTAATTTAAAGGTAAAATATTTCTAGACCAACATCAAGTACACATTAAAGAATTCATACAACTTCAAATTAACTGTAAAAGGCTTCTTAATTATTCGTATACTAATGTTACAATTCTTTTCTTTTCTCAAAGTTGACAAACAAAAACGTAAATAATTTTAAATGTCTTTTTATGTGAAAAGTCATTGTTGTTGTTGGTTTTCTCTAATGGTCCAAACAAATAATTTAGTAGTATATGATGATCTCGAAGAGAACACAGGCCAAGTCCAATGTTTAAGAAACAAACACTTGTGAATAATTGCTTGAAAAACATAAGTTTTTATTTTATTTACTGATATTTCTTTCTTTCACAGCTAACATAGTTTCACAATATTGGAGAAAACAGTAATTTCCAAATATGTATAAGCATCAATTTAAAATATCTTCAAAAAATAGAGTTAATATGTTTCAATACCACAATTATTATAACATTATATGATATTGCTACTGAAGAATTGTAGAAATGAAAAAAAGTTAGGTTATAAGTAAACGACCCGACATTATTTCTATTTTTTGATTTTTTAAAGACTATTGAAATACATATGATTTTATATGAAAAATTTAACTTACATGAAAGTACTTAATGATTAGAAATAAATAAACTGTAAACTAATAAGCTGAGTTTCACAAGTGTTAGTTGTTTTTATGGTGAATTTTTTTTCATCAAGCAATTATTAAATAAGACCTTTTTATGTGATTTATAATTTATTTAATAGAATCATCATAGTAAGTTAATAGAATGAAACTGACTTGTTATTATCTTTTTATAACTTTTCTCTAGTTAAGCAGTCATTAGATTAAATAGTTTGACCTTTAATGTTTACGAAATCAAACTGCTGCTTCAAAAACAGATGATTAAATTCACTATTATCAGGTTTACATCGTTGATGAATTAACTAACACTCAACAGTTACCATTTTTTTATTGTGATAATGATAAAAAAACAATACAATAATTATACGAGAAGTAATTCTGTATATAAATCCCATTATTACTTTAAAAGCTTCTTGATTTTATCATGTCACTCAGATTGCCAAGATACTATTGGTGTCAATTATATGGCTGTAAGCCACAATTTATACATCTTGGAAAAAATATCAAAGACACTTCTAACTACATAACTGCACACAGCTGCCTTTTAAAGCCTTTACAATTCTTACAGATAGAAGTTTTTTGAATGAATTCATCATACTAGAGTATAGTACATTGATATATTCTACATATTAGAAGGTAAAATCCAATACCCTTTGTAATTCCTCTATTCTGTTGTCCCTGATTTCTAGGTCCATTGCAGATTTACTTTCTACTTCTTTTATTTTATTGTTAGTTAAATCTGTTTGAACAGACCGGTGGGAAAGTTGTACTGATCGCTGAGACAGGAAAAGCATACTTGAGTAGTCAATATTATTACTCATGCTTGCTTGAGGAGAGCTTGAGTTACCCTATAAGATAGAGATGTGCATGTATTTATTAATTTGTGTCTTAGGAAAAGCTGAATTATCATGCAACAAACATATATATAAGATCAAGTACATAATAATAAAAAAATATTTAGCATTTAAATTATCACTTTTTAGGTGTTTCGTATATTTTACACATACCAAATAATATGTCTGTGATGTTGGTGACTTAGACCCTCCATACCGACTAGGACTAAGACCTTGATTCTGTATACAAAAAGTAAATGATAAAAACAAGCATTAATAATTAGTAATAATAAAATGTTAAGAAACAAATGGCAAATCAAAGAAAATTGTTCAGTTTTAAGCAAACTGGAAATAGTTTTTAGTTATTCTCACAACCCGAGTTCATTAAATAAATGCTTTGCCCTCCCCCCCTTTGTTAATAATAATAGTACCAAAACAAAAGTTATTACATATTTGGACTAACATTTACAAAGACAAATAAAAAGACAAAATATTTCACCCTCAAAACCTATCAGTTAAATCAATATTTCTATATAGCAGTACTGTTAATAAAGAAGTTGAATTAACTTGGTCAAACCTGTTGAATAGTTACATGAAATGTAAAAGGAAATAATCAACAAAAAATGCATCAAATCTGGAAAAGTTATGCTCAAGTTACAAAACTGTATATAGGAATATAAAGAAAATAAAACAAAACAACTTAGAAGGAAGATACATGTCATTAACAGAAAAGAAAGGCAACTCACATTACAACAACAAAAAAAAATACAAATATTAGAAAACATGATCTTTGTACACTATCTTCTTACTGGTAGGTTCTCTTTGTAATATTAATCATGGAAACGAATCAACAAACTAAAAACCTTCTTAAAAGTGAAAAAGTTAATGCATTTATTAAGAGTCTTTTTTTTTTTAAGATAACCTATTTGTTATGTTTTCTGTCAGGGTTAGCAAAAAGTCTGAGCACTCCCTCCCCTCAAATTAAGATAGTGTACATGAAAGACAGAATTTATTGCATGTTGACATATTTACATATCTTATATTGATGCAGACTAACAAAAGGTTTGATTAATAACCCAAAATGTATGTCTTTTAGCCTTCATTTTCATGACATAGGATGATACATCTCTACATGCAATGCGACATCCTCCTTAGCATATTAGGGGTGATTTTAGCAAAACTTTCAACAATTTTTTGTTTCAACGCATCAGTTGTTTCATATCATTCCTTTGTCAATGAAAAACCAAACTGTTAACATGAACTTTAAATAAGGGGTGGGGGGGTGCCCAGACCGTTTGCATACACTGTACAACATTATTTACACTAATATATTTTCAAACACACAGCTTACAATACAAGTCATACCAGTTTTTCTGATACAGACAGTAATTAACAAGCTCTTAACTCCTCAGAATAAGATTAAAAATGGTAATGTGAAACATTATTGGCTGTATAGACATACACATTAGTTCTCTATGTTCAACAAAAGATGTGTACAGTTGCTAAAAATATCAAATGAAGAGGGACACAAACTTGATAAACACTGCTATATGTATAGGCAAAGACAGTAGATATTAAAAAGAGCTTGGAAAACTCTGTAGTTCTTTACTGACAGATATATATATTTACATCAAGTAAAACATGAAACAATCACAGCTGTGCAACTGAAATTTCCTGATTTAGAAAATTTACATTTCAACTGGGCACTACAATTTTATGACAGTTTAAATATTAATGAAAAATGAGGCAAACCTACCTTTAAATACTCATTTAATTTTTTGGCATTCTCACCTCTTCCACCTTTCCCACCTAACAAAATACATAAAAATTATGATGTAACATATTATTTTCACTCACCCCATCATAATTGGAAAAGTAATAAAACTTCACTTGCTGTCTGGTAACGGCTTCTAAAAATAGTGTTGTGAGCTATATTTCAATGTTTTAACTTAAATGTTAGCTAGAGGGAGCTACTAATAATGAACATTTTAATGATCAAGAGACTTTACAAAATATCTAGAAACAACGATATATTATAAATACAAGAATCAGTGAAACATTGTGTCACAGTTTTCAGTTTGTTCAGTGGTTGAGAAGTTAGTGAATTATTCAGATCAGTGTTAATTACTGCATATTTCAGTTACTTGACGATTTAACCTTGAAATTGTACAAGTGAATCATAATACCATAAGCAGGTAAATTTCTGTTGCAAGTGAAAACATTATTTGTGAACTCAGGCCTACAAGTATAACTGTGTACAAGTGAAAGTAGCCTGTAATAACATGTTAAGGAAGAAATAAACTAATCTGTTACCATTACATGGACTGGACTTTGCATTATTTTCCCCAAGTAATTTAAAATAACTCTTCCATTGAAAGAACATCAAGGGTATTGCACAGCTTACATTAATACAGTACAGAACTTCTGATTGCAAGTAGTTACAGTGCTTTCTCTTAATTGTATTTTTATTTATTATTATACATTGTAAACACTAAAAACCATCTGTATGTAAGTTTAATATTATGCAATTCTAACACAACATCACATCATGCAGGTCATTTTGACTCGTAGTATATTGTATGCTCCTAAAACATGCCAACTTCTTGCACAGTCTTACATCATAGAAGTATTACATTTTGACTTGAAGTACATGTATGCTACTTAAAGAATGCCAACTTCTTACAGAGCCTTACATTATGGAAGTATGACATTTTGTCTTGTAATGCATTTACACCTAAAGCATGCAACTTTAAACACAACCTAACATCATGTAAGTATTACATTTTGACTTGTAGTACATATACACATATAAAGCATGCCAGCTTTTAACACAGCCTAATATAATACATGTATTACATTCTGACTTGTAGTACATGTAAAGTATGCGAGCTTCTAACACAGCTTAATATCATACAAGTATTACATTTTGACTGATAATAAACGTGCATGTCAACTTCTAGCACAACCTAACATCATACAAGTATTACATTTTGACTTGAAGTACATACATGCTACCTAAAGCATGCCAATTCTAACACAGCCTTACACCATGTAACTATTACACTGTTCTTTGTCAGCCAGCTACAATTTAATTTATATAAAACCAAATTATCAATTTTTTGTAACAGTAGTTACTCCTTAAAGTTGGTATTTGAATACAAAATCCCTCTTTAATAATGTTAACAGTAGCAACTGCTGAAGTTGCCAAGCCCAAATGGACATGGATTTATAAATTTAACAGGTCAATCTCCATATCAAGCATTCTTGAACGTCAAGCTAAACATGTGTTCACCTATTTAAGGACTTTTTTAACTTCTGTGTAACCTGATATAAGTGTACATCTATGTAATCTAGTGCAGAGAAAAAAAATAAATAAAATTTATCAAAGCAATGTTTATCATGCAAAGATTTAATTAACTTTTCAATTAAATTCAATATCTGTTACTTGAGTGTAAGGCTATAATAACATTTAAACCAGAGGAAACTTAGTCATAGTGTTTTCTCAATATGGAAGCATGCTGTTGTGATACAAAAATAAAAACAATGCTAAAAATAAATCCACTGCCTTTGTCGAAGATACATTAAATTCCTCCTTACAAAAATAGTTTCTAGCTTGCTGTGTTTCTCTGCATCAGTAAAGACACATAAATTGAAGAAGTATAAGCAAAATGGATAAAAATAGTAGTAAGACATGTATAACATTTTAAAAGAAGAGAAAGGAACAGGCAAGAATAAAAGTGAAGTTTTCTTTAATAATGTTGACTATTATTTTGATTTTCCACATTAACTTTGGACTTGATTTTAGTTCCTCATTATTGAGAACATCTTATTACATACATTAAAATGAATTGTAAAAAACGGCTTAGCAAAAAAAATTGTACCCAAGATTACTTTAGTTTTGACTGTAGTGTTAAAAGTTATTATTATACAAAAGCTATTCATGAATGAAAATTTTAACTTTTTTTTACACCTTATTTTGTTACAGTATTATTCAAAATCAGATAATCATTAAACCGGTTACTTAAGCAGCATAGCCGAAATATAAAATTCCAAAAATATAGCGTAAACAAGCAATAAAATTACATTAATATTGAATTCCTTGAACATTGTGTAAGTTTTACCAAGATAATATAATTTTAATATATATACTATTTTATAGCATCAACTACTACAATGTGATAAAATAACTGAAAGCAATTCCTATTTCTTGCTACATGTGTGTGTGTTGTGGAGACTGAGAATTACATGGATTAATTTCAAATCTAACAACATACACAGAGTACAGTCACCACACAAGAACAACTGACTGGATTTAACTCTGTTTTCTTTCTCTCTGTTTCTTTTTAACCAGAAGCTATAGGTACAGTGGAGAAGTACAGAGTTATCTAATTTATACAACATAAATTCAAGGTCTTACAAATAGAAATTCAAAAGGTTAAATGGTACTTTGGGTTTGGAAACATATAAAGCAAAAATGACAAAAACTGTGTAAGGTAAGTTAATAGGAGTTTTACTGCAAAAATTAAGAAATATCTGATAAAAATACTTGGATTCACAATACTTTACACAATATATTATTCAAAAAAAAACAATAGGAGATCAATGATACATTATTTTTTTCAAGAAATAAAGAAGAAAGTTTAATTTTTTTTAAATGATTCCCATTGGTGTACCTAAAAACTTTTTACTACATGTGTGTTTGTAAGGTTTAGACTGTCAAGAAGTAAGATGTTGGACAAAACCAGTGTATAGTATATCTTAACTGTACTATTTTAACTGTTTAACCTAATCATAAACGAACCTATGTTTTGGCTATCAAAACTAACTTAAAAGAATAAGTTGTATTCTTGGATAACAAACAAACAAATTTCAAGAAATCTTAGTTCTTGCCTGTTTCTGAAAGTCTTCACAGTTGTACGGAAAATTCATATTTACAGAAAAATAACTATCTTTTATACAGCAAGATCCCTTGTTTTTATAAACTTACAGATACTGGAAAAAAATATATATATATAACCAAAGCTCTCAAGTACTTTGCATTTTGTAGTAGCAGCTTGACTCTATTCTTTACTTCTTTCTTTACATGAGATTTGAGTAATTTTACAAAATATCTTTTTAAAATACACCATTATTACTTGTTCATTACACAGCAGAAATCTTAAATGTATAAAGGTTAGACAAAAGTATTACATTTTCAAGGTCAGGTGGTTAGTATTTCAGCTTCAGTAGCATATAACACTTTTATTGCAAGTAGTTTTGATTCATTTATTCAATTAATTCTTATAGAAAGTCAACCAAAGTTTTTCATAAGTATAGAAACAAAACAAAGAAAAAATAGTTAAGAGGCACAAAATTATTTTAACCCAGTTTTGTCTTGAAAGGTCCAAATTAAGTAAAGAGTCTAAATTATCAACTAAAAAACAAATAATGAAACAATCAACTTTTTATACGTGCTCTAGTTTCAGAACTACTTTATTGTCCCAAGCTAACACAAGTGTAGTCTTACACAGAGAATATCACATTTCCAGTACACGAAGAAAATCTGCAATTTCTTACATCTACATATTAACTTTAATAAATACATGTGAGCAAGTCTCGTCTACTTGAGGAGAATTAAGGACTCATAAATCTAATGTTAAATAGTTTTTGTTGAGTTTAAACTTAATTCAAATAAAAATAAGCAAATGTTTATTACACTTATAACAGAAAATTAGAGCAAAAGTTTCACTGCTATTTTAAATAAATATAATCAATGCATAATCAGTTCTTTATTTACCATTAGGAGTCAAACATTATTTTCATGCAGTTATGTAGTTGTCAGTCACACCTAGGTGTTTACACAACCTGAAAATATTTATAACTCGCATCCTGAAATCATCTTTAATTACTAACTGTAACAATTCATTGTTTCTTTGCTCTCTTAGTGCATTACAAAGCTTGCCCAACAAAGTGTAAAAGGTTATCTTTTTTAAAAAGACAGCATCAAAAATCTTTTTTTTTTACAGAATACACAGGCACTTCAACATCTGAACTTCTAAACTGAATATACTTGATCTAACACTAGCATGCCACACAATATAATTATGACAAATTCACAGCAAAAGCACCACATTAACCACCTTAGAAATCTTCCAATAATATTAGTGAGTTTTAAAACTCTGTCAATGGCATTGGTCCACTCAACCGACCTCATTTCTGTGAAGCTATATATAGTAATGTTTATTATAATTTTGAATTTACTAGATATATCTTCATGAAATTTGGCAAGCTTTTGGTAAACACAAGTCTGTTGTATACCAAAAAACAAGATATTTTCAGAAAAGTATTTATATTAAAGATTTTCCTGTGAATTTATGAAGCCTTTACCGAGTCAGTCCGAGTGAAAGCTGATTTTCATGATAAGAACAAAGATTCTTCTTTTCATCTTACAGTGTTTCATTTCATTTGCATAACTTCTAGAGCTTATTAAACAATATCAAAAGTTTTTACAGTAAATAAATATTTACATTTTCTCTACCCAAACACTGAGTAGAAAATAAAATCAATGACACGTTTTTTTCTTGAATGACTACTATTGTTTATCTTAAGAGCCTCAGCTTTTAAATGTACTTGCTTTTAATTTCATTACTTTATAATGCCTTTTACACCCTATTTAAGTATGTGACATGCAATTAAATATGGTAGGAGAACTTACTGTAAACAGCCATGTGATGCAGTTAGATCAAAATGATCTTGGAAAATTAATTTTTTTTAATTTACATTTTGTTATCTAATCTAATAAGTTTCTAGTTTTTATATAGTAGTTACTTCTGTTAAAAACAAATGACAATAAATAAATAAAGGATATATATAACAAACAATGATATATATAATGGACTTACATTAGAGTTGAAGCCTATTTCAGTAATTTGCACTCAAGAACGTATTTACTTAGCACTAGTTTTTCATAATGTGTTGACTGTCCACAAATATGCATTTTAAAACACAAAAAGTTTATCAAGCACTAGAACAGATTTTCTAAAAAAGTACAATCATGTGTGTTTCTAACTAAGCTACAAATAACTTTAAAAATTTTATTAGCTGCTCAGAATAAAAAAATATGATTGCAAACAATGAAACTGAGGCTAAACATCTACTTAAGGGCATCAAAATGAGATAACAGTAAAAAAAAATATTGTAAGTAGAAAGCTATTTGATATATATTGGTTATAAATAATCCATCAGCAGCGTAAGACAGAATTGTTAACATTTTTTAAAAGACAGAATGGCATGGGAGGAGCATGTCACGTGGGCTTGACTTTTTTTTAATACCTCAGTAATTAAAGAAAATAAGAGGTTCTAAATTTATATTCTGATTTCTTAATATCTATCATATGTGTTTCTTATTAGTTGGACATTCATAAAATTGTGTTTTAATACTTCCTTTTGAAATTAAGATATTAAGACTTGTAAACTACGTTTTGATGCTGAGTTTATTGATATACATCGATAATAACATTGTTTAATTAAATACTGAATGTAACTACTTCTATTAAAAGTTAGGGCATGCACACATTGTCTCTGCAATGCACACAGGGTTAACATGACAACAGAATATACACACTTTTTGTAGGAAAATTTAATTAATCAAAAGCATGACAAAATGTTTGCTGAAGACACAGTGCTAATGTTAAAAGTTTATGAAGTCTGTAAATCTAGTTGTTACAGCTCGTGCAGAATGCCAACTTTAGAGCTAAGTAATTCAGAATGCTTGTTTGTTGTTAAACACAAAGCTAAACAAATGGCTATCTTTGCTCTGCCCACTACAATAATCTAAACTAAATTTTTAATGTTATTAGCCCACAGACTTATCACTGAGCCACCAAGTCAGAATGTACAAATGCATATTATATCACAAAGTTCTTACAATCACAAATGGATATTAATCACTTACATTAAAATATATTAGGTAGATAATGAGAATAAATACCTAAAACAGAACTCTTGTTATAAATTTTCTTTACAATTTTTCAATTGGTTGTATCTCAGCACAGAATGTCATGTGAATTAAGAACTTCACAAAAAAATAAATTTTCAAAATAGTTCCAAAAGTGAGCATAATGAAGCAAGATGTTGTGATGAAGAAATCCCTGCCAGTTTCATTGCTCTAACCTCCTATAGTTTAAATAAACTAATGGTTTATTAATAACTGAAATAACACTTTTAACTTAAACTTGAAAGTTGTTGCCCCCAAAAAAGAAAGTTAAATAAAAAATTTGAAATAAAACTAAATGTTACATACCACCTCCTTGATCATCTTTCCGTTTCCGTTTTCTTTCTGGAGGAGTCTTGTTCAATTGTTTATCTGGACTCTTGTAAGAAAAAAAATAAAAATAAAGACATTTTAAACCAGCTTAAACCAGGAGGTCTAAAAGACTGTCGGAAATGTTGATAGTTACTGGAAAGAACATAAGAAGTGTCTGATTCAAAAGGCAGAAAACATTTGCACCAAAACAAAAGAAGAACATGGACCTGAACAGAAAAAAGCATGGTGGCAAAGCACAAAAAAAGTACAGCAAACCATCACAGAAAAGAAAGAAGCCTTCAAAAATGGCAGATAAAAAAGGTCGACTATTCAAAAATTGCATAAAATAAAGCAAAAAAGGAAGCAAAGAGAGCAGTATCAGTGGTAAAGGACCAGACATAAATATTAAACCAGCTTAAACTAATGTGAGTGTTTCAAGCATGAAAACAAACTCATCAAATCAGTGACAATTACATCATACCTTTCCTATTCAAGTTAACAATCCTAACAAATTCAATTTAAGCTTCTGATATTTGAACACGGATGTTGCATCACCTTGTAAACAAAAACAACAGATATAGGTATATTAACAGAAATTTAACACTTTTCCTCTAAATGACTGAAGATAGGAAAAAAATAAAACAATGGAGAATAGAAGTATACAAAGTTATGCAGGTCCAATGTTAAGGATAGGCAACACAGGTAGCTGCCTAAGGTGCCAAATTCTTGGGGGCTTCTGTGTGAGTAGGGGCACAGCCTAGACCACCAGTTATGCTATTACCAGTCCTGAATATATGATAATAATAGTAGTAATAAACTATAAAATCTTTTATGAAAAAGTCTTAGAACAAAAAAAGAAAAAAGTGAGATTAACATTTCTGTTTGTTTCTCATATCAGGTTATTTTCAAAATACAAAAGTTAGGTTCAACTAAATACTTCACCAAAATGAAATAAAAGAAGCAACAAAAATAATTATTATTTACATTAGTAATATATATATATATTCACAGCTTGGGGTGCATAGATTATTTGTTCTATGTTCTATAGCCTGCACTAGTTAAATCACCATTAGAAACTATTTTTCAGCCTTTTTTGTGTGTGTTAGAAAATAGCCTCAATCAAATTTCAATAACTTTCTTCAAGATGGTGAAAAGTGATGCTATTTGATACTTGTGCACAAGTGGCTTTTAAGAGGCTACTGAACAGGAATAACCGGAGTGTCTATCTCCAGTGTAATGGTAAGACTAAACGAAATACGTGTGTGTGTGTGTGTGTGTGTGTGTGTGTGTGTGTGTGTGGTATAAAGTTGTAACATTTCCTTCGTCCAAGTTCATATCTTGTACATTGGTTCTGATTCCTTCAGCAAAAGTGTTTTTAATATCTTAGAAAATCAGTGTGATCCAACAATGTCATATCCTACATAAACATGTTTGTTTTCACAAATCTGAGAATACAGTGCTCTTTTAAATTTATTTTGGAAACTTATTCAGTTTTTTAAAACTTTTATTACAAAATAACTGTTTTTGGAAATACTCACTGACCAAATTCTGTTTCATCTTGAAAAAAAGAAGAGTTAAAGTGGATCTGACTGAGGTGTTTAAGATCGTAAAGGGAATTGATAGTGTTGATGCATCATCTTTTTTTCATATTTAACGGTGAGAATAGTAGAACTAGGGGACACAAATATAAATTGGGGCAAGGTAGGAATCATCTCCAGCTAAGACAGTTTTATTTTTCTAACAGGGTGGTTGGCCTTCGGAATGGGTTACCTTCGGATGTTGTGAAGGTAGTAAATTTAAGTGAGTTTTAGAGAAAACTTGATAACTATATGAATGATAAGTTTAGAGGATGAGACAGCCAAGATGGACCAATAAGTCCCTTGTTGTCCCCAAAAAATGATGTTATGTTATAAACATTTTGTCATAATAAATCTGATTAGTTATTTTTTAGACATCATGAAGATCTACGTTCATTACTATGGTAGAAAGGAAGCATTAATGTTGTCTTACCACACAGAAAAGACTGGAATAATGCCAACAATGGTGAAACACATTAAAACAAGAAAATGTTTTTTCTTATACTTGATCTAACATACACACACACACACACAAAAAGAGATGATATCAGAGCACAAAATGTTTATATCATTTATTTTTGTTCAGAATTTTCAGTCAAAGCTACATTAGCTTTCTGCATAGAGGTGTTCCTGATTTCAAACTGAAAGACTAGAACGAAGGCAGATAGTCAACACCATCAACACTTTGGCTAGTCTAGTCTAACCAGATAGAGAGTTTACAGTTACTCTTATAACACAAAGTGTAGAGCACATTTTTTGCAGCAATGGCTTTTAAACCATGAATCATCTTATTCACAGTCCAGTAGCCCCTTGCCCAGATTCTACTGTTTAAAGGTTTAAAAAATATGACGTTTCACCCAGTAATTTCAACAATTCTTACTTAAAATCTTCATAAGTCAGCCACAAACACTGTGCTGCCATTTAATGTTTTTTTGGTCACAAACAAATAATTCATGCTAAAAACAAATAATGATAATAGGCTCTGACTTTTAAATGGCATTTGGTTTTTGCCAATATAGGAGGCCTTACAGTCTCCACACGTGTAAAGATAGACAAGCCAAGAACAATAAGGAATGGGGAGGAGAACTTTATTTAATAGGGAAGAAATTTTTTATGCGTGATGTGGATTTAAAAACTAATCTTAAACCAAACTTCGTTTTCCTTCGAACACATCGCTTGCTAAATT